TAAAAGGTCATTATATTTCTGAATAACTATTATGTGATTGTACTTGAGTGTTCTTATCTATTGTTACTGTTTCCCACAGCCCTTGTTTCCATTTCTTATCCGATCATTCATTGCAAAAGACAGGAGGATATTGGTATGATTCATGTTGTGATGATACCATCACTGTCCACTAAAATTGTAGTTTGTGTCAAAGATATAGCGACTGATTACGTCATCCATTTCCTCACTGTTTTCCAACTACATGTACATGTACTGCTTTCATTGTCCTCACTGCTGTGTGACTTGCACCCCATCCCATTTTCTACAGAGGAATGGAAAAAACAAAATCTGGGTCCTTTACAATACCCGTACATGTACATGTACATGGATACAATAGGGAAGTTTCGCTCTACGTAATTACGTATGAAAATCCGTATGTGAAAATCCGTCCAAAATCCATTCCGTATGTGAAAATCCGTATGTCGTACGCGCCGGGTAGCGAGGGCAACTTTCATACGTTAATCTCTCTACGGATTTCCCTAGGAAAGCTGTTTCCTACGTTGGGTCCGGTTCATGGTGCATGCCCAGGGCCTAGGGCGCATGCAGCCAACGCGTCTCCAAAGCAACAGCGCATGTTAATTAAGCAGTCGTGGAGAAATCACGTAGAGCGAAACCCAACAGCTCTGATTTTTACGTATGAAAATTCCGTGCAGTTCCTACGTTATTTTCATACGTAATTCCGTAGAGCGAAACCTCCCTAATGTGTGGACTGTTTCACGCGCAGTGTACAGTGTTCCGTTGAACACCCATACATGTAGCTGCAGGTACATGTCCATGTATTTGTGAGCTTGTGGGCACTCATTCAGAGTACTGTATTTTATTTACCTGGCTAACCCTCATCACTGGGCACTGGATCAATGCAAATGTTTGTAGCTAAGCATCAGACCGTAGTATGTAGGCTATACAATTGTGTACACTGCACCTGATCAGTGCTGGTGGTCTGCATAGTAAAGGGTTCGGAGGTCATGCAGATAGTGTTTTCAATGAAAAGCAGAGTAGAAATCATGGCAATACAGTCACGGTATTGTATGCTCGAACTCGTCTTCTTCAAAGTTCTTTCTCACACTGATACAGTACATGTAGCAGAAGATGCGAGTGAATCAGCCTTTATTAGGTATCCCGTAGCGGACGAGATAGTGGCGGGTAGGCTCCGGCGGATTATACTCGCGAAACCATGGAATTATGCTTTCATGGATTCTCGCATTATGCTCGTAAAATCCTCATATTATACTTTTGCACCCGGGGATATATATTCACTTTGTTGTACTTATGGATCCTCAAAGTTCGGAAAAGTGTGCCTTTTCGTAGTTTCAAGTGGCCATAAGTACAACAAAATACATGAGTATCCCCATACCAAGCTGCAAGGTCGATGGATAATTTTGTTGCTAAAATCCCTGCTCAATTGTAGGTTTCAAGTATATCCTGCTGGTTTGTCTCCTCCTTTGCCTTCTTTGCCTTTTATTTGTATTCTTTTATCTGTTTTACTGCTGTGGTTGGCTTTCACCCTTGTCTCAGTTTTACTGGCCGTCATCATGATGTGCCCTGAGATAATGATATTAATACAAATACAAAGGTGTCCATGCACGTTAGAGATCAACATGGAAAAGAGAAAACATTAATTCTTCTATTCATCACTTGATTTCTTTTGTACTTCAGTAAAAATATTATTTCATTGCCAAATTAGTTTGACTTACCTTTGAAAATTATCATGTTCAACTCACGGTTTTCATGATCATCATACTCGTCCAACCGATGTCACCCTCACCCTGCGAATAATCAGCTTATCTCTTCCGTAACTCCACTTCTCCTTCCATCATGACCGAACATCAACTATACATCAATTTTGAGCAATATCCATAGCCTGCAGTCATATCATGGCTGCTAAAATTCAGACTACCAGAGGTCATGACTTCGTAACATGCATAATATACAAATGTAATGTACATGTACATGTACATGTACACGGAGTTTTGCGGACTACCCGCCAGAGTCGGCGGCCACCCGGTACCTAGTGTAGAACTGTTCATTCCAACAGCTCCATAAATATGGTCGAAATGAAAATATTGGTTTTTTCAATTGACATCACGGATTTCAGGTACGATTTTTTCTACGTTCAATGAATACGATTCGAATATCTGCCATGATCATGCCGATGACTCGCATAAGCTGATTGGGTTTCTGTCAAGCTACATGTATAATAATTTGCTACTCTTTTGCTAGCTATTAACGAGCTGGGAACGTTCAATGGGAACACTTCACTAGGTGACATGAGTTTTCGCCATTCAATACCACCATAACCTTTGACTATCCTAACGAAGCCCCGGGTACGCAGTAGGGGATGAACGCAGGTAGTTCTCACGGTGAAAGAAACCCTAGCGCTTGGGAACACCACATGGAGTACACAGTTACACAAGGGATTAAACAGGGGGCGGCAGTCAAAATGATGTACCCCGACCTACATGTACATGTACATGTACATGTAATTCAAATGACGGAGTAATATGGTTTAATAAAGTTTTGTTTTTACCCAGTGCAGTGACCCTTGGAGCACCAACACGCAGTGAAGAATCAGCTGGTAAACGAGCATCATGAAGCACTCACCTAACCTGATGTGTGTTCCGTATCCAGATGCCAGCAAGGCCGCGCTGCATGTACAACTGCATGATTACACCGTTTCAGCCGGATCCAAATTCAGCAACCATTAGGCAATAGAAATTGTTGGAGAATGCCCCGCTTTTCAAGTAGACTGGGCTTGGCTCAAAGAATAACAGAGGAACCAATGTCGAGTGAGCATCGTGTGTACCGTTGTTTTCTGTAGCCGTGTCGAGCGGTGAGAGTAAACACTAGTGCAAGAGTCACACCCATGGATAATCAGGATATTTGATGGTCTGAATTTTAGCAAGCTAGCTGTACACACGTACACGAGGGACATACACAATGCACGTCACTCAGCAATAGAGGGCGTGACCCTGTTATGGCCCGGATACATTACGAAGTCTTCTCCTTGTGTGGCTACTTTGTCGTAGAAGAGAGTTTTGCCTCGTTCTGGAACCCATTTCTTTAAATCTGCTCTTTTTGGTTTATCAGTTGTCTGGGACAAGCTCCCCGAGAGTCTACGCGGTGAGCGATCTTCTTTTAAGTTTCGTATTCTCTTAAAAGGCTATCACTCACAGTGTAAATAGTCCACGGCTGGAATTCCTGATTTTGTGTCTAGCACTCCTACTTCTTGTCATGTATTCTGCTTCTCCCTGCTCGGCTTTACCTGTAGGTATTCTTGAGCAGTGTTTCTACTAAGTCTTCTCCCTTGTCTCTTTTCCCTTGCCTTTCATCGCATCAAGCCTTCCTGGAAACTCCTGGCTTGATAAGTATCCATTTACCTTTGGAGAATCCTTCAAACATTTAAAAGTCTGAATGAATGAATGCACTCACTACCCTGTCCCTAGTTGTGCAAATACATCAACTGCTGTTGCGCTAGATTGCAAGTCTACATACATGTACATGTACGACGCATCAGGCCGACCTGCTGACGTATATTGTACCCGTACATGCCAATAGGCAACACGCACAGATTTTATGGAAGGGAAACCAGATTGTAACACATACCGATAATGTTAGACCACTGTACCATCGCACTGGCTTCCGCACATATTAGCAAAAACATAAAACATATCTCCAACCAAGTACAAGAAAAGAAATGAAATGCATGCGCTGAATCTGACGACTCCTTTGTTTCGCCATGGTTAGTTATACATTGTAGCTTGAGTCACCCGCGTAACACAGAGAAACGGTAGCTATGAGAATTGTGCATAGAAATTAATGATGGTTTGGTTGGGCCCGTCGATGGCAAACATGCAAACCCTTCCCCAGCAAATGCAAACTCAAGAAGCATTCATTGCTGACATCAGGGTACGATGGTGCCGAAGTCCGAGTTCGAGGTAAGCTGTAGCAGCGAAACGTTCGTTTAAAGGAGAATTTAACAAGCTAAGCGGTATTGATCTTGGATATACATTATACAATACCTAGTCTATTATCGGTATTGTATTGAGCCATGTCCGCTGGCTAAAGGATTATTTCCTCTGTCCAGTACTGTACCTAGGCTATACATGTAGATGTTTGGTACCAAGCTCAAATGCAGTCGCACTTATTCATGGCAAATTTTTCGCTCGGGCTGATAACCCGGGTAGTTATAGTAATGCACTCATGTTATCATGAAGGTAACAACTAGTCCGGGGTTTTCAAACCGATTTTCTGCCCATTCTTACCAATGCAACACCAACATGTACATGTACATGTATGAAAGGAAGCGGAGATTCTGGGACCATTTACTATTGATTACAAGAGTTGTATCTTCGAACCGACTAGCTGCCGTTCTTTTTCATAAGGTGTCATGCCACCAAAACTTATAACTGCTTGGACCTACATGTATGCTAAGCAGCCAGGGATCCTCAGGAAAACTACGTAGAGTGGCCACAGACAAACAATGCGCAATGTGTAGTAAAGTTGAGTTTTGTGATGATTCATTGTTGACACGTGAGGATAGTGTTGGGAGAGGTAAGAAGGTTTGTTTGACAAGCTTGACAGGCTCTTGCTCATCCGCGACGTACTAGCAAAACAGCTGACTGGGTGTAATGTCAAACTGACTCTAGATGAACACCGCCATCGACATTGTTTATGAACTGTCGAATCGCAAAGTAGGGAAAGGAATGCTCAACAGATAAAGAAGCACTTGCGAAGTGTAAGTCCACGATTTTGTGTTCCCCTGGGAACTATGATGTGGGCCCGATCACAGATGCTGTCAGCCAGGTGGCAAATTTGGAGCAGACACGTCAAGCAGAGGTAATTGTCGATGTTGATCTAAAAGATCGTCGGATGTTAGGGCTGGGTTAGTTCTAATAATACTTACCTGTAGCTGCTGCAACACTGCTTCCGCACAGACCTGTAGTGTTGAACTGACTATAAATTATGCGCAGAACCTTTCGATCCGCAGTAACTACTAGTTCAATAGGAAAGCTTCATTGCATGTGCTGAACTCCTCGAACATTTATAAACAAACACACCGAGCTGAAGCTTAAGAACTTTAGGATACCACGGTGTCCTGTTTCGCACAGTGGTTAGATAAGTTGCCCACAATGTTTCAGTGGTTTTGTGTTCTGCTCGTGGCTATAGCAGCTGCCGTTCATCCTTGCCGGTCAGAAGCAGAATTGGGTGGTTGGCAGCAATGGCGCCAACCATTCATTAACTCTCTTGGACCCAGAGCAGGTGAGAATTCATCCCATCTAAGATTACGAGTATACAGTGTATGTCAAAATAGCTTTCTTGGAGACAGCAAGCTTATCAGGGAAAGAAACACTACACATGTCAGACTATTCTTCACCATTATCATCAATCAGTGCCCCTGTATTTTCCTGGATTTTTCTTTTCTTTTTTTCTCCCGCTTTTTGCGTTTTTTCATTGACTTTGATGTTAAGGGGGGATTAGGGACTCTTGGATCTTTCCCCTACCAAATGGTGCCGGTTACACATACAACTGTTTTCATTTTTGTAGTGTTGTGGTCTAATCATTCGCCATGGCACGGTCAATTGTATTCTGTTTGCCCTCTTGATAACATAGTGACATGTGCAAAACACAGCAACACCTGTTTACACACCATTATCATCAATAAGGATTCCAAAACTCATTAATCAGTGTTCGGGCTTTCTCTTCAAATCAAGCAACCAGAACCAATGAAACATAAGGATAAGTAACATCACAAGCGTGGTGACCATTACAACTAGGTGATAAATTCTCGCCCGTCTGAAAGTGTTAGAAGTTATTAATATTTTTACTCCCCAGCCACCTTTGTGTAAACAAAAGAAAAAGTATCTCTCAAGTTGTCTACTGACACCCCTGATCCCACTAGTAAATCAGTAGCGTCCATTGGGTGTTTATCTTTACACAGTGTGTGTTTTAGTTCCGCTTGTCTCACTTCTCATCTCTTTCTTCCTTTCCCCTTTTTTCTTATCTCCCCTTGTGCATAAATTCTTCGATAAATGTATCCCTCGGATGTTAAGCCAATAATGAATTTGGAAAGGAAAAGGACACATGGAATTACTCTTAACTCGTATCCATAAGTATGTCCTTTTTCTTTCTAAATAAAGTTATCACCTACATGTAGTTGTAATGATTTCCACCCTTGTGATACTAATGTTCCTTATGTTTCATTGGTTCTAATAATAATAATAATAGTTACAGTTCGCATGTCACTCATGGAAGGATCCATGGGCTTAACTCATCTGTCAATGACATCCAGGCAGAAGACCTAACAAAAGGCATCTCATTACTGGTAGAACGTATCGCAGTAAGAACAATTACGCAAGTGCAGCACATTTTTTTCACAAGCATCAGCCATTTTTCTTGTCTTGAGCCAGTTCAAAACAGCTTGGTTCTGGTTGCTTTTAATTCATTTGAAGAGAATTCTCGAAAACTGGTTCATGAATTTCGAAGTTTACCTACGCCCCATTTTTGATTATGCAGATACTGCTCGGGCTGGAATTTCCACAACCCGTGCTGCCAAGCTCGAAATTCACCACAAAAAAGTTCTCAAAATCCTCCTCCGAAAACCCCGCATGCTTCCATCTTCCACCCTTTATGCCCTTGCTGACACTACCCCTTTGTCTAAGAGACGTAATTCACATCTTGTCACCCTTATCCATTCTCTCAAACTCACTCTGTGTCCACCTCACCTCCACTGTTTCAACTGATTCTCTTCCCGTAGCACGAGAAACTCCCTTTCCCTTCCGAAACCTAAGTTCTCCTTTCTACTTCACTCTCTCCCTCACTGCGTACTGTGCGTGGCTGGCACTTCCCCAAGAAGCTAAGGAATTTCTTCCCTCCGCCTTTTTAAGAGCCTTGTCGCGCCTTGACTTTGATTTTGTGTTTCTCATTTTGTTGCAATCACTGCTTATCCATGCCGGTTCCATTTTCTTCTCCTCCCCTTCCCCCTTCCTTGCCGTGGTTGGCTAACACCCTCTCTCTTTGCATTGGCCGGTGTTTTCACTGTGCTATGAGATGCTGTAATAAATAAATAAATAAAGTCCTTGGTGATGATGATGGGGAAGAATAGCTTGAGATTTGTAGTTTTTCTTTCCCTAATAGATATGTCACCAGTATTTGCCCCGTAACTACGACTACGACTTTCATTTCGTAGCTTTTCGTTTTTCTAAGGAGAAAGAATGATGCAAGGCTACTTGACGAGGCGTATAATAATCCATTATCAGTGTAAACCTTCGAAACGTTCGCAACACAAAACCTGCTCTGCTGGCCATGTCCAGCAGTGATCATAATTATGGTCGACGGAGTTTGGTATACCCACCCACTCCACCACCTTCTTTGGAGTGCGTAGTTGCATGTTATGTGCACAAAGGCCATTATTGGTTTCTTCAGTATACTTTGCAAAGCCTTCATTTTGCATACAAAAGAAAAGGGAAAACCCCTTTCAACCTAAACATGTATCGCGTTGCCTGTAGTGACAGTATGCCTTTTCAAATGATGTCTTGACATTCGTCACCTAGGTCCTCCTGGGAAATGTGTGACTCGTAATGGACGGGTATACGAGACTGGCGAAGTATGGAGGCCCCATGACTGCAAGCGATGCATGTGTGCTGGTGGGAAGAAGGTCTGCGTACGATCAAACTGCAAAGAACCTGACACCTGCAGCACTGGTCAGCATTCGGTGAAAGTTGCTGGTTACTGCTGCAGGCAGTGTCGGCAGTTAGGTAAGGTTGTTGTGGTATCCTATGGTGTTTTCTAGGCGGAAGTGTGCTGAATTTTGCTATTGGTAGCGTTCAAGTACCTTCTCAAGTCCAAGCCTGGTTACGAAACATGTAACGTTCGGTGATACCAGAATTTCACGACGTAATAATTATACTTCCGTTGCTAGAAATGGTGCTTTAAAATACTCAGAGTTGATCTCTCTAACATAGAATTCATAATAGTCCTGAGTGATCATCAGGCCACATTATTATGACGGCTCTTAGCAGGCCGAGTTTTGTGCTGGGCGATGATCAGGCAATATCACGATGATGACATCATAATGATTGCTTTGACAATACGGCTACGTCATAGTGCATTTTGCCGTAAACCATTCCATACTGGCGCAGTTATTGTTGACGTATGTTTGCACCATGTGCACGACTAAATAAGTTATTTGCCAGGGAAACTACGTCTCTGTATCTGGAAAAATGGCGTCTAGCTTTCATACTCTTTCTGTTTATGCAGTCCCCCGTAACTGTACAGGACCCAATGGTGAACGACGGCAGCACAATGAGACATGGCATCCCACAGACTGTAGCACATGCGATTGTGTTGATGGTAGAACACGATGTCGGTCATCTTTTTGTCCAACACCGATATGTGATGAAGGTTATGAGGCAGTTAATGTAGAGGGACTTTGTTGTAACCAGTGCGTGGAGATACCAGCGGCAAACGAACTCCCTGTTCCAAGAGTTGTGGCAGGTAAATAATTTTTCTATTTTGCAGCAAACAAGCAAACCATAATTATTACCCTTGTACCCTCCGCGGGATTTAGCACTGTCAGAACACTAAGTGCATCATCCGATGTACACAATGTTGTGTTGATGGGGAAGTACTTCCAAGTACATGAATATTGTTTCTCAGTCTGCTAGTATATTCTTTCCGTGTTTTGTGACACCCAGATATGAGAGATTGATACTGAAAATTGTGAACGAGTATCCACTATCCAGACGTACAACGTCAGTGCCCCAGGGTTGATTGTACCTTTGCCATGTCGATGTCCACGCTGTAGTTCAGTAATCTGCACATGAAATCTAAGTACACGCAATCCTGTTTTATATTGGCATCCAAAATTGAGCCGTCAGCACTCTTCAAATTATTCTTGTCGAACATGTCCTAAACTTTACCATACAGGAACACACTAGCAGATAACACATTGATCTGGCATATCATCTTACCGAAAGGAAAACTACAAACGTCGTCCTCTTTTTCCCTTTTCTTCTGTAAAATCGGCAAATTATGGAATTGCCTTCCACCCAAGATTACCGCTATAGATTCTGTTTCAGAGTTTCGGACACAATTTCGCGCTCATTATAAATAGCATATATTTGCCTGCTTAAGTCGCTTCACTAGTACGTTAATCAAGGATCATTTTCACTGTTACGAGATCCCCCCGATAGGCTATGCCTTTGGGAAATTCTTTAAATAATTAAATTAATACAAAACTTTTACAAGACCACCATGCAGGGCAAGAGGTACAGAATTTCACAAACCAACTTTCATTTTTACCTGGTTTCATCTTAGGGATAATGTATCAGCTTTATGCTTTAGAACCGTCTGTGTTTATGTGATATTCAGCCCCTGCCAACTGTACAGGACTCGATGGTGAACGACGTCAGCACAATGAGACATGGCATCCCACGGACTGTAGCACATGCCATTGTGTTGATGGTAGAACACGATGTCGGTCATCTTTTTGTCCAACACCGATATGTGATGAAAGTTATGAAGCAGTGGATGTAGAGGGATTATGCTGCGACCAATGTGTGAAAAGAGGTAGGAATGCTTTTCAAACAAATTCTACACCAGTGTGGCACAAAACTGACGTCATCCAGTAACTTTTGGCATTCTTTGTTGCTGTGACGCGTAGCTCATGCTCTTCTTCGTTGGGCTTTCCTTCCCCTCTTGGACGTTTCCGAACCTGAGCCTTCCAAGTTGGAAGGTTGTTGGTTTGCGCCTTGGAGAAGTGTTGGAGCTAGGTGTCAGGTCGCCGAATGTCTCAGTACTCCTTGTCAGTTTCGTGCCATTTTGTCGCACTCGCTGACTGTATAAGATCTGGTGACGTTGGTGGACAGTTTGTCATAACTCGTAACATTTTGTCCTTTTCCTTTCTCCATCATAACTATATTGGCTCACCCTTCGAATAATAAGAATAATAGTATCCACAGCACCTGCCGATTGTACAGTACCTAGGGTGAACAGCAAGTAAAAAAATATATTCTGTGTTTATCGTTTGTGGCATGCAGGACCTGCTGACTGTACAGTACCTGGCACTGGGGGTGAACGACGTCAGCACAATGAGACATGGCATCCCACGGACTGTAGCACATGCCATTGTGTTGATGGTAGAACAAGATGTCGGTCATCTTTTTGTCCAACGCCGATATGTGATGAAGGTTATGAAGCAGTGGATGTGGAGGGATTATGCTGTGACCAGTGCGTGGATATACCAGTGGCCAACAATCTCCTGGTGGCGAGCGTCGTGTCAGGTAACTAAATGATCGTATTGGCAGGGTACTGCTAGTATGCAGCATATGTGTGTTGTGACCAACCATCTGCGAACGGGATACTAATAGCAGTACTCATACATGCATTTAGCCACCTTGACTAAGCAGTCTAACTGCGTCTAACAACACCAGGCTTCCTAAATTAGTCAGATCTTGGCCTTGTCCAGGACATACTTCAGTACCGGTGGGGACGCGCATGAACTATATGCATATTATGCTGCTAACAAGGGCTCCCAACATCGAGCCGTCGGAACACTTCAAATTGTTCTTGTGGAAAACATCTTGAACTTTCACCATGCAGAAACATGCAAACCGATTATCTAGAGTTGTTTGACATTATTACTGCAAAGACTACAACTTTAAGCAGTTATAATCAACAGTATACATTATGTAATGAGACCCATATATTTCACAAACACGTTTTCGTGCTTGATGATGTTGATCGTGGCTTGATGTTTGTAGTTTTATTGCCATTATTGATGATCTCCAAGAACGTTGATCAATTGTTTGACCTTTCTACGTTCTATAGTTGATTGCTTCACTGCTGCATTTAAACCATCTGTGTTTATGTGATATTCAGCCCCTGCCAACTGTACAGGACTCGATAGTGAACGACGTCAGCACAACGAGACATGGCATCCCACAGACTGTAGCACATGTGATTGTGTTGATGGAAGAACAGGTTGTCGGTCATCTGTTTGTCCAACACCGACATGTGATGAAGGTTATGAAGCAGTGGATGTAGAGGGATTATGTTGCGACCAATGTGTGAAAAGAGGTAGGAATGCGTTCCTTACATATTCTACGCCAGTGTAGTTGAATACCGTATGTCAACACATGCCATACAATTATCGTCCTATGTTTTCCACAATAGTTAGGGTTTGGGTTAGAATTGTACGGTTAGGTTCTTTTGATGTGAAACTGACTTAACTGCGTACACACTCATGGTCACCATCTTCACTGTACAAGTACCTTAGACAGTCCATTTGGCCTGGCCTCACCCTGTTGATTAAACAGTGCTAAGGAAATTCACATTGAGCAACACAAGATTATTCTGCACATAAGCAATTGATGTGACCTTTTTTTTTACGTATTTGCCAGTTTGAAAATAATCAGTACTGAATTACTATCCCAATAAGGAGAACGAGCTGAAGTGATATTGGATCACCAAGCGGTGGAGACAATTCGAAAACAACGTAAAGAGGGAAGGAGAAATACATAATAGACGAAAAAGCTAAGATTCAAACTAGTTTTCGTACAAGGATCATCAGGAATCAACGTTGTACAAAAGAACCAATGAGAACAAATGAAATAATATAGCAAGCAAGGCAAGGTAAGGAGCACACACAGACAGCTTTAAAACATCAAGGACTTCTGTCTGCCATGTGTTTTTATCAACTATTTCTTCGTGAGAAATCACACCTTGATATTTTAGTGCTGTCTTTGTGTCCTCCTTACCTTGCCTTGCTTGCTGTACTATTTCATTTGTTCTGGTTCTTTAGTACAACGTTGTTTCCGGATGAGTGTTGTTCGAAACTAGTTCGAATCATCTCTTTTCCATCGCTTTTTCTTCTTACATGTATTTCTCCTTTCCTTTTTACATAGTTTTCGCATCGTCTCCATCGCTTGCCATTGTTTAATAAAGTAATCCATTGTCACTTCAGCTCGGCCTCCTTATTGCGATATTAAAATTGTGGTCTCCTCGCCGAATACTTAAATACTGAATTACTCAATCTGCGGACAGAACTGTTTCATCCTTTGTGGACTCATCAGCGCAGCACAGAGAAAAGCAAGCCGAACTTGATAGCAATGACAAATGAATTTTCCAAAGCAAATACTGAATTACTGAATTTTCTTTTTCTGTCATGATCATAATTATGATAATAGCTATCAGGTTGAATTCTTGTACAATTCGCAAACATTTTCTTACAAGGTTACGGTACTGGGGGGGGGGGGGGACACCTAAATAATCTGCGCTTATTGTTTGTGGCATGCAGGACCTGCTGACTGTGTAGTACCTGGCACTGGGGGTGAACGACGCCAACACAACGAGACATGGCATCCCACGGACTGTAGCACATGCCATTGTGTTGATGGTAGAACACGATGTCGGTCATCTATGTGTCCAACACTGATATGTGATGAAGGTTATGAAGTAGTGGATGTGGCGGGATTATGCTGTGATCAATGTTTGAAGATACGGTATGTTAGGCCACCATTTTTACCATAGAAACCAAGTGTGATATTGTGCATAGCATATTGCCTTGCACACAGTGCAGCGCTTTCCTGTCTCAGTGTCCAGATTGTGCGAATATCCTTTTACTTTGAAATGTGCGTAATCTCCACCGCAGTCACTTCATTACATGAAAAACCTCCCCCCCCCCACCCCCATCCTTGTACTTCTATTTTTATTAATTACTTGCAGGTCTTTCATCTGATGTAGTGACGAATAATAGCTCTGAGTTTTCGTGCTGCGATCAGCAGCAAGTCCAGCCCCGTTCTCACACATAATTACTCGTGCGCTATGATACCCCTCAGTATTTCTCACCTTGCTCCATCTTATGTTTAGGCTGCCCGTCTTGGCGATCGGCAATGATTTCCATTATTGCGAAAGCGGTGTTGATATTCTTTATACCGGTACTGGTGCATGTTATTTACTAGGTTCAGCTCACTAGGCCTTTGGGTAAATCAGACGAGAGCCAGACCTCAAAGTAATAGTTGGCGAGAGGTCATTTCTTTCGCATAACACTCTGGACCATGGTTCGTGGGCCGTTGAGGGAGTACCATTCTATCCTCCACACAATTGTCGCTGTGTCAACTTTACTACCTCTGGAATGTGGTAGTGGGCGATCTCCCACATAATACGCAGCACATATCAACCAGACATTGCATTTTGACATTGTCCTGGCAGAGCACGAACCTGTAACGTCGCAAACCACCTCATCATGCACTCATCCCCTATCTTTTTCTTTCAACTTCACGACAACGGACTTCACCACGCGGGACGGTGTCAAAACAATGCACAGATAGATGCTATGCGCTGTCCGGGGGCCAACAGTACGAGGTCACACCGTGGTCAGGCGTTGACAGTCACTGGACCTTGGTTGCGGGTCTGCAGACAGGGAAAATATTCAGAGACGCGCAACCCTTGGACATGCATGTAGGCGTACTGTACAGCGCCTCGCGAACAGATTTCCCTTGCACGCACCTAATAGGCTATCTGCTTCATTTGTACTGGCTAATTCTAGACCAGGTATTGCGCCACACAAAGTGAAGGCTAGAACGAGGATGTGTCAACACATATCTTTGCACACTGATTCAAACACGAGAAAACGTCTACACAAGTCGTATGTTATATGCGGGTTGCTAGCCAGATCGAACCCAGCTAGCTCCAACCAAAAGAACACTTGAAGCCTTGTGTTGTAAACGACGCAGTTGACACTAGCAGACGAACTTGACTCTTGTCTTGACCATAGCAGCTAGGATGTCTAAGCTACTCCTCTCGGTACTAACAGTTATATTTCTTGCCGGCCACCCATCTCAAGCGGCTTCCATTGGGAATCCTCTCACGTTTCCGGACACTCCTGAAGGTTAGCTTCGCTACATTGGTCTCACGTTAATGCAGCGGCCCGATCGTTTCAAGGGTACCCCACACCATACGTATTGCAAAGCTAGGAGGCATTGTTCTGCATGGCGATTTAGCATGCGTGAAAGTCAGCTAAAGACAGACCCGAGGAGCAGGCACCATCCACTATCTGTATCAATGTCATCTTATACTGAACACTTTATTAACTTCTACTTGTTGTAGATCCTGATATTCCTCCGAATGGAACCTGTTTTGACTACTCTAACGGTGGACTGAGAAGTTGGGGTGAGCGTTGGCCTTTCGGAGATTGTGGGTACTGTCGCTGTGAGGAAGACGGTGGCGTAGGATGTATGTCATCCGACTGCCCTAACCCTACTTGTCAGGATGGCCATGAAATTGTGGATATACCTGGTCAATGCTGCGACGAATGCAAGAAAATACCAGGTAAGGTTGGTTGCAGAATAAAAAATATTGCACTTCGCACAATAAGGCACTTCACCAATTGAGTGAAATGCTCCGCAGGTAGCTGAGGTTCGTCCTCTGCAACCTCAATAGTTCAGAGACATCATGCCGAACATGGTAGCAGTGAAATATACAAGCAGTTTGCTTTAAAAGGCGACCGTTTTAAAAGAACGAAACACACCAGGCAAAGAAAATGGTCTACCAGCAAGGTACAATGGAAATATTTTTAAGGCATCATACTCTCCTGTTGTTATCAGATCATGGCTCTGAAGATAGTTCCTGCACAGGATGGAGCGGAGAGAGAAGGGAGGCGAAGGAAACCTGGCATCCACATGATTTCGACTGTGCGGTGTGCAAATGTGGCCAGGCTGGCCGGGCGGAATGCAACTGGACTACCTGCGAAACGCCCGTGTGCGAGTTTGGTATAGTTGACGTGCCTGGCCAGTGCTGTCATACTTGCCGGGAGTTGGAAGGTTAGATGCTATGGGTAATATTCTTAAATTAAAAGTTGATTGCTCTTCACACCGGAGCTCGCGATTTCCCAGTCAAGTTGGCGTAAAAGCGCTAGCTCCTGTGTGTGGAGCAAACAACGTTCCTATGAAATCATGGTTGAAGTCGCTACCACTATCTCGATGAATACTCTTGTGACAGTTGTTATGAAAATGTCAATACCTATACTTCAAGTACAAACAGTGCAGTAACAGTCGACGAACTGCCCACAATCTTTATCCAGTGGTGTTCAGTCAACCAGTATATGCAGGATACAAATTCCATTACCGAAATATTATTATACTTTTCAACCAATCCACCTGCTCCTCTGCTCCTACTCACCCTCCCCACCCCCACCCTTTCCCCCCTCCGAACCGAAGCATGTGCCTCACCGCGTTTTCGGTCATGTATTGGTATCATTTCGTACCCTACCTCACACATGGAACCAATTGTAATGAAAGCAGGAGACAGTCCACGTGGGTACGAGTTATGAGCAACTGTTCATCACTGTACCTGGATAGCGCAAGAGCCAGAAAGTGCCCCAAATAGGCACCGAACTGACAGGGACTGAGACAGTCAACGACTTAGCACCTACATGTACATTGCACCTGTAGTTCTAACACACCCCTGAAGCGCAGATCAGCAGCCTTGCAAAGCTTTTGGCACCATTGTCCTGCTGTTCACTTTTAAAAGCAAGATCGGATGCAGGATATAAACTCTGTGGTGGAGTGGCATGACGGCAGGGAGAGAAATACTCTCATAATCGTAGCATAAAGTCCATTCAATTATACATCTGTAGCTGGTTAGTAACACAACCATGTGGTAGTGATCCACAGTGGGTCCACTGTTATTAGGCATTATGCCTGTTTTGATTTCCAGAATAAATAAAGTATACAACAACAACAAACCATGTTGTTTGGCTAAACGTATCATTCTCATGCCCTTACATGCCATTTAGCGCACAGTGTGTCCGGTCAGGACAGGATTCCTCTTGATGCAGGGTTCGGTCTTAACCTAGGTGTTACTGTATTTCAATCTTCACTTCATCTACATGTAGGTTGTGTCGATGAAACTGGAGTATTTCGAAGAGATGGCTCTCAATGGTTTCAGCGTGACTACTGCACTGTGCAGTTGTGCCAGTGCAGTCATGACAGGGCAACATGTACCGTAGTAGACCTGTGCCCTCAGAGCTGCCAGCCTGGCTATGCGTTGACGTTCACCTCGGGCCAATGCTGTCGCGAATGTCACCCTATTGGTAAGGTTATGGCTGTTCGTCCACACAGACGTTGCACCTCGTACTAGTGCTTATCTAGAACCACAAGTCATTATATCAGTGATTTTGAGTCTAAATGAAACTGAAGAATGTAGTCTCATTTGTAGGAACTTCCGGCTGTCTGAACTGACAATATGCAGTTATGTGCATGCACTAAAAATGGGATTTTCTTGCTGGCCTTTGTTCTGTAGACTGGTATAAAGAAGAGGTTTATGAGATTATCTCCATTCTTCACTCCGTATGCCTTGTGTGTCCTTGATGCATGTGCTGGAAGAAGTACCAATCCCACGGAACTCAAATGTTCCATATTGCCAAAGCGCAACACCTGATGATGTAATCGTCTAACCTCTATGGTAAACAATATATCCTGCTCTCTCGTGTATCACAGAATCCCTGCAGAACTGCACGCAAGTTGGGCATGAACCCCGTCAGCACAATGAAGAATGGGCACTGGACGACTGCGCAAGATGCACTTGCGATAATGGAAGTATTGGTTGCATGGGGTCCAGTTGCATGGATCCTTCGTGTCCTCACGGCTTCGAGATATTCGATGTCCCCGGACAATGCTGCCATGAGTGTCGTGAAAGGGGTAAGAAACTGCCTGAGAAGAATCATTTACACAGTACGTAAAATGCACATATACTTCACACATGTACTCCTCTCTGAAAAATACTAAATTTCACATGAATTTGATTTGACATCATTGTAAAACGCATCGCCTCGAATCATCAAATTTCTTTCCAGGCACATTTTCCAAGAAAAGGACCGTGAAGCACTTGGGTGTCCACTACCAAGTCACGGAGATGAAAGACGGCTTGTTATGTATAATTATATTAATATTATTACTTGTATGTACATGTATGCTCCCAACTCGATAACGTTCTATGTTTACGTCTCTCCCACTTCTTTCTCCTTCTTCTTTGTTCTTGTCGCTGACTCATTGAAAGCATGCAGTCCATTTATACTTGCTTGGCTAAAATGCCACTGCCGTTCCTTGCATCTCTCTTTCTGTATCATCAGCAGCGTGCAAGGAGCCGGATGGGAGGATACGTTTGCATGGAGAAGAGTGGATGCGAAATTGCACAAGCTGTTTTTGTGACAATGGATTGGAAATTTGTCTCCGGCATCAGTGCCCAATCAATGTATCCTGATGGCTTGCCCGGTGGGCCATGGGATACGTCGATGGCCAAAGTTTCCCTGACTGAATCTAGTGCCGTTCTGGACGCACACAAGCCCCCTGGACTTTGTACTGTACATGTAGGCTGTAGCTCATTACTCCAGAACCATGACAACGGCGTCGCGTAAGTTTTAAAAGTAGACACCTTGAACTCTCTTCTGAATGACATAATCGCGTCCTACACCATAGCTGTTGTGGTTTTTTTGGGGGAGTTCTCGATTTCTCTCTTATCAGTTTTCAATGCCATGCACCGTACATGCACATCAATGTCAGCCAGGATACATCAATAATAATATTATTACTAGTACTTGAAGTACTTTATTAGCAGGGTACAGATACACTTGGAACGTATGATCTCTTTGCTGCAGACAATCCTTTCTCCATAATTCACCAAATGTTCGGGGATAACCTAACGCTATCTCCACTGGTTTAAGGGTGAGCAATCACACGATATGGCAGACCGTTCATCACCTCTTCAATAGATCGAATTCTCTTCCGCCCATACATGCATCTCCCGCAGCATAGCTTATCTTTACGTGCCTATACTCTGCCTCATTATCCATGGCATTCCTTTCAAAAAATACCAGGGGTGAAAAAACTAGAATACACACTTTTCTGCTGTCCCAAATCAATACATTTTCCTTTCTTTATATTTGTATTGGGCATTGCTAGCTAATTTCTATCCATTATTGACTTTTGTGTACTGTTACATATTGTTCATCCACCATCACACCATCACTGCGCTCTCCAGCCGACCTCGACACGTTGCCATAGCACACCATCAGCAAAGCGACACATCCCGGTGTTGGTACTGAATTCCTTCATACAGCTGTTTCGAGTATAAAACTCTCGTCAGTGAAAGCAGATATTTTAGAGTGGCTAAGATGCTGGTAGTGAAATCATCAATTTTTGTACTGAAAGGGTGACCCTTAATTACTATTACATAAATTAAAGAATTGCACTGCAATCAACTTCGCTAATAAAGAATGCTGATATAACGACAATTCGCGAATAACGGCAGAATTTCCATGCCCAGAGCAAAGTCCAATCTAACTGTAATACATGTAATGAGACTTCGGGTATAAGGACACTTCGCGAATAAGGACACTTTTCTGATGCCCCGCCGGGTGTCGTTATACGCAAAGTTGACTGTATTTATGCATCTAGTTTTGAAATAATCTCACTGAGTACTCATTAGTTCTCTGGCCAGAAACTGGGGACCCGCTCGTGAGTCATGTGCATGTACAAGCACTGTACACAGTAAAGCATGCGCATGGCAGTACATGACAACAATGATGTCATTATGATATCACACTTGGAAACTTTTTCTTGACTAGAAAGAATGAGCAGCTGATGTGGATTATCTTCCTTTGCTCAAATAAATATTCAATATTTGCTGGCAATGTTGATGGCAACTGTTACATGTATGTATGCAAGGAGTTGGGAGAATGAAATACGGATTCTCTGATCTTTACATGTTTTATTTATAGTATCTGCTCAATACAACGTAATCAATATAATTCTCAACTGCATCAAGTTATCAATGTTATCTGTCAATCGCTCTCAAATATCGAATCTTCAGCAATAAGGCTTGAAAGTGCTACGTCACAGCATAGCAACAATTTCAAAAATTCAAAAACTGGATCCACTTGGATTCAGTTTTTGTATGGATCCAAGCACATTTCAAACGGTCTTACTCACAGCAAGGTGATGTAGCCAGTGAAACTGACTGATTTGGCTAATGGGGGCGGGGTGACAACTGGTGGCGAAATACAAGTCACACCTGCATGCGACATGAGTGGGTTGCTCTGCACCCACATACTTAGACAATAGCAAAGTCACACCTGGGTCCAAAATAGAAATCTGATGTCAACTTACTGCTCCCTGGCCGTTTTTGACGTCATCACTTTCAAGCCCTATAGATACACTCTCGTAGCCTCTGCTACAGCTATCAATATTTGCATCAGTACCATTTGGTCATGATATGTTAGAAGACTGCAAGGATTTACGGAGCCCTTCTATAGAACTATTAGAAGGTTTTGTGTCAGATGCGGAAGCACTTACGATACGGTGAAGCTTAGTTACAAAGGAATACCTTTTGGTTGTCGAATCAGCACATGATTGTGTTCTGACTGAAGACAAACGGGATACCCTTAACTTGTCACGATTGGATATGGGACATGGATACCCAGCCCGGCCATTTGAGTACTGACTACTAGAGGGTGAGAGCTGCTGCGACGCAGAGCTTTGGCGGGGGCCGTGTTGGCTGCCTTGGTGAAAACTGGACAGTGTAATGGTGTTCATGCGGAGTCGTCTCAAATCACTGGAGGACCGGCGTAGCTTCAACCTGGCGCTCGAAACACTGGAATGGCTGCGTTCCAACTTGGATACTCTGATGCGCCTGACTTTTGGGAGCACTAGGATGGCTGGCATGACTCCAAACAGAAACAGACTCTCCAGCGAGTGCACGGCATAGTGGATATCGGGCATAGCCCTCAGGAAGAGCTTGCCCGTGAATGCCAGTAGTTCCACTAGAGATGAGAGATAAACAATAATGGAAATCTCACGACTCTCTGCATAGTCGTTAAGAACTCTGCGAAGCTTGAAGCACAGAAAGCTGCTGGAAAGAAGCAGCAACAGATGAACTGCAAACGCGACAAATTTAAAGGCATTTTCCTCACAGCGTTCAAAGTATTGAGGCTGATCTTTTCCCGTCATCAGGACCTCATCCGCCTCGCTGGCTAACTGCTTTGAAAGCGTGGCAGCCGTGAGAATAAAGCACCACACCAGTAGCAACACTACCAGGTAGGCGGCTAAATTCACATCTCTCAGATGTGACTGTGGTCTTGTCTTTGACATCATCTTATGGCTGAAGATCTGTTCGATTCGCCAACTCTTCAACAGAATGCTGCCATAGCTCAAGGCGAAGCCAGTCTCACTCAGCCACTTGAACAGAGAGCAATTCCATCGTGAAGGGGTACTTCCAATGAAGAGCCCAATATAGGCCACAATACAGCCAATGAGGATGGCCACCAGGAATTTCCAACTGGCCGAGCGCAGAATAGCTTCACTTCGTTCGCGGATGACATAGATCAGGAGAGAGACGACAAGCACAAGAGCTAGGGCGTTGACGCAGTGAGCAGGCGCTGTGATCGATACTTTGTTTTTGTACCTGCAATCGTCTGCTGGGGAAATACAATATTTGCAGTGATGTGGACACTTGGCGCACCGAAACAGATGGAGCTTTTTCCTCACTTCAGCTGCACACTGATCCTGAGCCCAGATTATGTCCAACGATGTCAGAGAGCTTCCCAGTATCTCATTCGTATTCCCTAGAGTGTGTGGATAGTAATACCCTTCTTTACAGACACAAGTGTACCGACCCGCTATAAGCTGTGATGTGTTCCTGGCTTCACTCGTGACACACACTGTTGTGTCCGTGTCGCACAGGTTGGTATCAGCAAACACGCTGCCGTACCCCTCAGCCCGACCGTTCAGTTCCACTGAGCACTGATCGATGGGTATCTTATCCAGATCTATATCTATACCAGTCATTCCAAGGTAGTGTACTGTGTTGTTGTGGTACACTGACACAGGTGCGGAGTACGTTACCATCCATGTAAAGCCAAGTTCACAGTCAAAGTATGGGTTCACCCATAGAGAATCACTGTACTTTGTGTGCACTGGGCAGATCAGATAGTCTGGGATTCTGCAGCGCCCCATCGACACCTGCCGCAACGAAGACCCATCAGGGCATAGATGTCGACACTTTCCACCTAGCCAAGCATCGTCCTTGTGTTTTGCTGGATCCTGGAGCCACTCTTTCGGCTGTGAGTACCACCGCGGTGCAACTGGGCTCTCGGGGGACGTGATCAGGGAGTTGTAGTGGAGAATTCCCGGTACTCTGTCGGTTGGTACTGGCTGCCTGTTCCGGTATTGATAGTAGCACTGGCTTGTGTTGAAAGGACCTTCGCCAATACAACCTCCGGCAGCAAAAACATTGTCAGCCTGCGCACTGTTTCTTGCCCGGAGCATAAACAGGACATTACTGTCACTCAGGAAATTTACTCCATCGAGTTCACCACATGATTGCTGACTGAAGGACTTCAAATCAGGATGAGCATGCGACACTTCGAATATTGGCAATTCGGCAATTAGAGACGACAGCATGTGGGCGTTCTCAACGGCAAATTCAGCGTGGACACGGAAACTGGAGAAGTTGATGGCCAGGTCGCCTGGAGAGGTTTCACATGTTTGGGTACAGAGCTCTTGATTAGGTCGCCCACCGGCATGTTCACTATGTAGCGGAGAGTCTTTGCAATAGCGTCTACTGCGCTCCTTTGCCGACTGTATTTTGTTAAAGAAAGTGTCGACCTTATAAAGATCACAAGTTTAAATTTTTGAACTCGGATGGTGAGCCAACTGGACCTCTCCGAACCTGAGCCTTCCAAGTTGGAAGGTTGTTGGTTTGCGCCTTGGAGAAGTGTCGGAGCTAGGTGTCAGGTCGCCGAATGTCTCAGTACTCCTTTGTCAGTTTTGTGCCATTTTGTCGCACTCGTTGACTGTACAAGATCTGGTTACGTTGGTGGATAGTTAGTCATAACTCGTAACATTTGGTCCTTCTCCTTGTTCACCAAAGTTTTAATTATTGGTGTGGCTTTGGCCGCACCTGCCCGACCGGTTCCACTTCTCCTGCTATAGAAGGCTATTCTTTAGACCATATGAAGGCAATCATATGTTTATTGTTGTTAATTCAACGTAAACAAATTTTAAAGGGCCACAAAAACACGTCCCCAATCATGCACATGCAAACAAACACACACGCACACATGTAGAAAACGCCCACACACACGCACACAACACCCACACAGATACACGCATACGCAAGCACACACACACACACACACACACACACACACACACACACACACACACCAACACACACCAACACACACCAACACACACTTTACAGGTACGCGGGCTTCAAACAAGCCACAAAATGCATGTGGGCGGCAGTAGGGTTTCACCACTAAGACTATAATATTGGCCAGTACTACTAAGCAGCATACTGAGATGCAGTTATTAATGTATACTATGTATGGAGAGTGGCAGGGTGACAAGGTTCAGGACTGAACATATTTCTAAAACCGGCGAGCCTACATGCTAGCCCGCTGTGTGTGTGTGAGCCTACATGCTAGCCCGCTGTGTGCATGTGAGCCTACATGCTAGCCAGCTGTGTGCATGTTTCATGGGTCAAGTTTTAAAGTGTCTAAATGTCCGGCCGCAACCTGGTAATTGGAAACTGAACACATAATTATTGTTTGTTTGTGCCGGGAATCCTCCTCAACCCACACTCAGTAATAATAGAATGTATCATTAGACACAAGGTTGAAGCTTCACTCAACCTCTATCTTCTTGATCACATTATAATTAAAATAATTTTACTATCCCTTGCTCACGAAATTCATTTTCACGATCCAGTTGGAATGCGGTATAAAATAATTATTACAAAAACATCTTGTCACCCTTACATAACGCACTCCAATCGCAGCAGGAGATGGCAACTTGAACAGACTTCCTCAGCTGAATTCCAAGGCTGGACCACCACTAAAAACACCACCTGTCACTAATCCGAAGTAATCACCACTGAGATCGCATGGAGACAGGATTCGTGATGGAGCCGGTGTCAATACATCTTCCGCCACTCAGCGAGTCTCGCACTAGGAGATAAATCCGTCGAACTGATGCAACACGATCACGGTGCATGGCTGGCTTCACGGTAAAAAGGCAGGCAGCAATATCTCAAACTACCAGCTCCAGTCCGGTTCGATGATCATGTCGCTTCTGCCGGCAAATCTACGCCAGGTCAGCTACATGTATGTACATGTACTGTGGCATCACGTCATTATTTGAGTGGGGCTGGGCAAAGTCACGATCAGCACTGCACAGTCACTACTAGATAATCTGATTGTCGAGTGACCATGTAGATACATGTACCACAGTCAGGAAGATCAAGAGGTCACAACACTTCTCAACAGAAGACGTACACCATCAGGCATCACGACTAAACAGCCTGTACTGAGTGTACCATGGTGTACCATGGTGTACAGCGCAGTAGATCTATAGAGTAGCCTCAATACCTGAATACCATGACTGACTGGCATGCCATGAGTACTAAAGTAGTAAAGAGTAAAGTCAACAACTGTGCAGTAGGCATAATATTATTATGCAGTAACTGTTGTAAAGTCTCCATCCTCTTGGGCCCTGGGCTACGAAGCACTTCAGACCCTCTCATATGCACACCAAGTGACCAAGCCAATCTGCTTCCACACGTACGAGGACCTTGAACTACTTGTTTTGTTCCTTATTTATATTGTCACCTCGTGATGGGTCCGCAAGCCACTTCAAGCAATACTCTCAGAGTCTCTTCTTCGAAGCAATCTCATTCTGACTCTGACATTAACGTAGATATCTGGTACGGGGTAACACTAACAGGGGCATACCCAGGTATCATGAACTGGGCATGGGGAGGAGCACAACTTTCCCGCAAAGGTACATGTACATGACTGTGCTTGTCTAAGAGTTGGAGATACATTGTACGAGATTATAGTTGGATATCACCGAAAATTCATCAGAAACGACTCCCGGGTCCCAGATCGGCATTTCGTACTTACATATCCCTGGGTATAGAAGAATGCGGCTAGGTTGAGTAGTGTCATGAAGATGATCTCGATCTCGAGGCAGCATCTTTTCCCATTGATTGGATAGCGGGGAGATATTCCACACAGGCAGGCAGCAATATCTCAAACTTTCACGCACTCCGAATGTCAGCAAAACCAGCCTGCATATGTGTTCTTTGCTTCTTCCTGCACCACCGTAGCTCCATCAAAGCCACGTCCATTGGATGATAGAGTGATAATGACTTGAGAAGGCACCCTCCTAACCCCACCTCACCTATCGCACCAAACCACACAGCATTTTCTCAACGTCCCATTCAAACTGTCTATTCACTAATGTCTAACGTCACAGATGCATATGCAGCCGCGCACCAGACTGCTGGTAGTACCTAGTATCCTCCCCAGACCCTCAGGCTGAGGAGTTGACTTCTGTTACTTCACAACAGATACTGCTGAGTAGTGCAAGGTGCTGCGGCATGCCAAATCTACAAAATGCTCATGGATGCAGCAAATGCAGGACGAGGTTCGCCCCTTGGTCGCAAGCGGTCAGTCATTGGGCACGGGTTGTGAGAGTTACCACCTCACCCTCACCGCGCTTATGCATCTTCAACCGTGATCAGGCAGGCATGGTGCATGCCTATTGGTGGTGGCCTGGCACAAGCGACGCTACTACATGTAGTACATGTACTTCCTAACCTGGTTGTGTTTCTCACCTGTATCCAGTGGTAACGCAATATCGTGCGAACTTTACTTGACCGTGACGTACATATTGTATTCCTAAACTGGGCAGTGGTGGCCCTGATATGATGTGCAAGAGAGGAACGCACTGCACTGGAGTCCCGTCACACATTTTTGTAAACAGGTTTTAGAGATGTTTGGCTATCTTCTGATGCCTCAGTGAAGGACAGAACTGTCATTACAAGATGCCCTGCCACGAGGCCGGTTCACAGGCAGTTTACCGTACAGGAAATAGACGACACGCTTCCGCATAATGGTCATCTCAGGCAGGGGCGAATGATCTACAGACAACAGATGGCCAATAATGAGCACCCCTTGCTTCAGAGACACGTCGTACATGAAGTGGTCAGTCACAGCTCCATCTGTCAGTGGTTTTTGAGAGCCGGTTGGGGAGGGGGTTGACAACACTGCAAACATCTGCGTAATACTAGTGTTTGCTTCAAAACTTTTAAAACTTTCCAATTTCAATGTTATGGTGCATGAAAATTACAATGTAGAAGCGCTGGTCAATGTTACCTTGGTTACCCATGATGGAGAGCTAACGCACTCCTAGCTAGATCCTATCAACTCAATCATTTCTTGTGCATTAGTTTTAAATCAGGCCTGCGAAGAGCTGGTACAACAATCTATCCAACAGAATCCATACAAGAAAACTAATAAAAGAAATAGAGAAGGACAACATTGCAAAGACGACTGATCGGTACTGGTGCATGATCGCCAAAACTCGGCCTCCGACCACCCTATGTTTACACGTACACGGATCGGAGCTACTTTTTCGTCTTCGCAGCGATGGGCAGACGAGAAGAGCATACAATCATGTACAATGTAGGTACATGTAGATATACCCGTATTACAATGTATGTACTATGTACTGAGCGCAACTTCAGTACATGTACATTTTAAGTACTCCGGATTTAAATTCACATAACGTATGGGAACAAGGAAAACGGGGGGGGGGGGGGGCACAAGTTATGCGTTAGAGTCCACCAATAAAACCAGGTTTTGAACAGTCAGACTTGGGCTCCACCGTTTTCCTCGTTTCCATGTTAATAACGAATGGGCTATGGGGACCTTGGCTATACAGTAGCTTGGCCATAACTTATGGCATAAACTACAGGTGTGCAGTAAGAACTCAGATGGTGAGCCATGTTATAAACCGCAGGTGGCATGGTAACTTATTGGAGGTACATGTACAAGTACAAGTCATGTGCATGTAAAGTATGCTGTACTGAAGTTTACCGGTATAAATCGAGTGCATGTACATGTATTGTGTCTCAAAGCAAACTGTGTTCCACGCTTTAACTAGGTTAGGGACTTCAGACCACGTGACTTCATGGCCCAAAAGCGTGCAAATCGACGCCTGCACAAATCGTGTGATGGTCATACATGTATGTCAAGTCGTGTAAAGAAATGTGGAACCGTTTTTCGAAATGAAGGAAGTCTTGTACAGTTGGAGAAAGTTTCGGTTCGTCTTGTTGGAGCTTGCCTTCGTTTGGGACCAGCAAGAATGGAGCTGTTACGTTCATTTTTGACGGAGATACGTATGCGGATGGAAGGGAAAGGTGAGAAACTATATGATCCGTCCGGGTCCCCTTCTTGTGATATTCGTATTCTACGACCTCGAATCAGTCTAGATAGAAGGTAATCTTTATTGTTTTCACCTTCCAGAAGACCTATTTCTTGCATTATTCCTCTTTGTACTTTGCCGTGCAGCGCCGCCATAGTCAGTATGGAAAGCAGCGAGAAGTATCCTGCGCTAAATGATGCTGATGTACAAATTGAATTGCTCTTGGCTGTTTCGGTCCATGCCCCCATTCTTGGCTCCAATGCTGTTATGCTCGATCTGGTTGAGCTCGGCAAGAATAGCTGAAAGAGTGCCGAACTGGGAGATTTGCTGTATATTCTTGTTCCTATTTGCTGTATCTCTGCTGATGTGCGTACTACGATTACCCCAGCCAATACAATGTCCTGTACATGTACATGTTGAGCTTAGTCAGTGCCTCTTCCGTGGTCATTCTTTTTCTTGACACCAACAGTCCGAAGCTATCTCAGGACTGTATTATCAATGTCTCCTGTTACTAACCACTACATTGTAAACCTTGCTATTCGGCTATTTCATGCGGAGAATCAAGATTGTTTTTGGATCTGGTGTGCGGTTGCTATGCGTTGCTAAGGAAAGTGGGTTCTCTCAGTTTGACATATCTCTGTGATCTCAAATGTGTGGGACGTTTGTCGGAAAAATCCGGTGATAGGCGATGACTATTTTGCTTGTAACTTTAGTTTCCTTTGTCCGATTTAGAAAAACTTAAGACCAAACTCTTCAGGAAGCTCTAACCTATCCAAAAAGCAAAACATAAGCCACAGAAAACCGATTTGAAAAAATGGTCTGAAGTCCCTACTTTAAGGTACGAGTTAGCTAACAATAGTGGTTCGTCTCGTTCTTTAGGAACTGAACTCCTGTCTAGTCTCCTGAGAAGGCATGATAATTATGTCACACCTGTTCCATAGATGAAGTTAGCAAACGACAGCAACAATAACTCTTGTTACCTTACCTGGCACCTTGCAAGATACAAGCAACAAGGAAGTCTCGACAATCATGAGTCTTGCCTGGTTGTGACAGGGCTATTTGCCATTGTATGCAGAATGTAGTCCTAAGCGGGACCATTTAGGGTCTCCCATTAGCAGAGCCATGCACGTCCCTGTCCATGCAAATCGGATACCATCTGACTGTACCTGTTGGAGCCATACGCGTGAAAACTGACCGAGAAATACGAAGAGTCTACTGCAGACTTTCTGTGTATCATATTCTGATTAGTAGGACTAATAGCAACAAAGATACCAGTTTAATGGCACGGCAAAGTCAAGGCATTGCCTAGCAGCTTTTTGTCCCGTTCTTTTTCCAAGTATCCACCTGCAGATACATGGTAAAGTATGGGTGAGAAGTCAAAGCAGACCAGTTTCTATAGAATAGAACCCGGGTGCCCATGTGTGCTTGTGAGCACCTAGTGTGAAGACAAGAGGAAGAGAGGAAAGGCGCCAGTTTCAGCACACCTAGAACATTTAGCTCCAGATCAGTAATCCTATCTTTGTGACTTCAAGTAAAGAGCTTCAGACTTTGCTGCATTGTCATGAAACTAAGCAACTCTTACATTCGCCGCAAGGTCGGGAGCCCCTTTGCAGCATTACATGTATATTGCCGCTGGCTGGGCTGACCCGGGCAGAGGCATGTCTTCGCCGTTGCATGCCGGTAGGCAATCTTATTACTAGGTAACGATGTCTTGCGAAGCTTTCGTGCTCTATTTATTTCCGAATTTGGGTTGTCTTTTTGCTTTGACTCTTACTTCATGGTTTCACGTGATTGGCCCAATTGGTGTTGTGAATACAACCGTTCTCAAGCAACTCTACTCCTCTGTGTTATGCCCCCCCCCCCCCTATTTATTTATTGACTTCTATTTCATCTACACTAGTGCATTAAAATCGCTCGCTCCTCGCTTCTTTAGCCCATTTGGCTCATGCGAAGCCTGGTGATGTCGCCGCGAAAAAGCTGATAATAATACAGTGGTCCTGAAATTTAGCCAGCGAGGCGGATCAGGACTTTATTCTCGATTTTACTGAGATCGAGGCAGTCTTGGTAAACCACAATTTTAAAGTGTCAAAGTATCACTAAACGAAAAGAATGATCCTTTCTCTTTGTGTGTTTAAACAGAGGTAGGTAGTTGTAGGATATTATATATCTGACTACTTGGTGGGGAATGATCTCCACGCATTCTTGGACTGCACAAATCATAGAAAAAAACTTGGCCATGAAAACAGCACTGCGGGAGGCGCTAGGCTGGCATTGATAAATCTGCCGCATATGCGCTTCACATGTCATCACTCCCAGAATGCATGGGGTCACATGATCACTCCCATAAATCATGGTGTTCTCTCATCACTACAAGAAATAGAACGTAAGCAACAATATGATGCTCGAAGTACAATGGTTGTGCAGTTTAACGAAAAGACACCAACCGTCCTTCTCACTTTCTTTTAGGCAAACAGGTAATGCGCTCACACACCATCTTGGTGCGCATATTATTGATGATAAGAATTCTAATCATGGCCCATGCTGTAAGTGTCAGGGTTACACGCTTCGGTTGTCATTGATATCGCAATACGCTTCAAAATCACTTTCGGTCAATCCTGATGGTAGCAACATCCCCGTTCGGTTCACAACTGGGGCAGCAACGGCCAGGTCGCAGAACTGGAATATATGCAGGGCGGCAGAGTAGTGTCGGGCACCTCACAGATTCACATCCTGGTATTTGAGGGAAAGGAACTGTAACAGATAACAAGTTGGTTAATAGAAGGAAAGAAAACACAAGCAAAAAGGAAGTCAGCAGTGAAGGGAAATTGGCTATAACGAACATTAATACTGCACTACTACCATCAACTCAATATTCGCTGTTGCTTTGCAAGCTTTCCACAACACACCCACCATTTGACCATTTGACGCCCATCGCCGGAGGCAATGATAGCAGTGCTACAGAAGAAGCCATAGAAACTTGTGCTGGGATTACGCCATTTAGGCCGCGGTCACACCAAGCGTGATTCAGCCATTCAGTGGAATAAAGCGCTTTTTGACGTCTTCGTTGCTACAGAAACGGCTGAATTTTCGGCTTCAGCTGTTTTCGCCAGTCAGCCGTTTTCAAAGCGCTGAATAGAGCGCTAAATGGATTCAGCCACTTTCAGCCATTCTGGCACAGTCGCGGGAAGAACAAAATCGTGCAAATCCAAAGCACATCTTGCCATGGATCACGATGCATCATGTTCTGAAATATTCCGGCTTTCATTGTTAGTTTCGCTGTTGGTCCAACTTCTCTCATTGCCTGCTGTCTGTTGTTGTCCTCATCTTTCCTTGCGCTTTCTACGAGGTATGATTTGGTTCGGCAGCATCAGACAAGGGAGACAATTGTGCGATAGAAGTATGCAGACAACGGCACGGAGGCTAGTTTCAGGATCCATGGCTGCACTACAAGCTCAAACCTCCCTGAATCTTTCAAACAAGCACCCTGAGTCCAATGAAGCTCCCAGTACAGTACCAAACCTGTGCTGGATGCCACGTACATGTTCAATAGAAAAATATAATAATCTCATTCAAAAATGGACCCGAAGAAAAAGAACCCTACAGCACACAAAAAATCAGCGGATCACATGGGTCGATGTGACCAACCGCTTCATTCAGCACAAGCCACTTTCAGCACAAGCTGAAAATAGCTTGTTTGGTGTGACCGCGGCCTTAACAGCTTGCAAGGCTGAAGACGTGACTGCCACTAGTCAGCCTGGTCTACACCACACAGCTATTTTTTGAAGTGGCTTTTCGGGCCAGCGAATCCCTACACACACACACACACACACACACACACACACACACACACACACACACACACACACACACACACACACACACACACACACATGGTTCTGGAAAACACTGCCATTACGGTCACGTGTCTCCTTGCGACGCCGACAATATGGAACGACGAGTGTCGGCAAAACTGGAAAGTCGGCAGTCCGCTGAGAGAGCGGTCAGGAACCAAGTTCAATTTTCACCACGAGAGAGCCATCTGGGAGCTATGGATCTGGCTTATTTTCGGAAACGATTCCCCACACGGCTACCGCTAGAACTGATCCATCACTCTCCACAAGAGAGCGAACATTCCATGAGCCAATGCTCAGAGTCGTTCCAAGTCGTTGTCTTCGTACAGTAGTTTGCTCCACTCGCGGGCTTGCAAGGCCTCGCGAAACAAACACACACAAACACACACACACTTCCTTCCTTCCTTCCTTCCTTCCTTGTACCACTGCTATGTGGCCCCCAAAGGAGCAGACTCGGATTTGTGCTGTCCATCAGGGCGCTCGACCAGAGTGACTTGTCGCGTTACATTTGCACAAACACAAACACACACACACACACACACACACACACACACGCACACACACAAGGGGAACTCATGCAAGTACTGGTACGATAATCACTGGAGATCAACACAAGGCGTGAACCCTGGCAAACCTTACCGCAATGCGCACAGCAACTATCTGGGGTCACCATGGCTATCTCATTGTTCTTGCAATCAACTGGTGGACACGTTATGGCTTCACATGGAGCTGCAAGGATTACAAGACACATAACATGATCAGGTCATCTGCCTACTAGGCTTTTTCTCACGCCGAAACTTTTAAAACTAATCATGATTTACGTCGCGTACTTACAGGCAAATTGCTAATCGAGGAGGAACAGCAAACACCGGGAATACCCACAGTGCATGCATACATGTACATGTACATGCATTCCAGGGTATCGTCCAGGTACTTTCCATGCATGCAGTGCAGTGTCACACCAATGCTGTTACATTAGAGGACATACAGAGCAAGTTTGTAGCTCAGGGGCAATGCCAGACAATCAGTAGTACACCATAGCGAGTTGAGGCTGAACCTGGTAGCAATGAAAGTCAATGTTGCCAGGCTGAACCTGGTAGCAATGAAAGTCAATGTTCCCAGGCTGAACCTGGTAGCAATGAAAGTCAATGTTGCCAGGCTGAACCTGGTAGCAATGAAAGTCAATGTTGCCAGGCTGAACCTGGTAGCAATGAAAGTCAATGTTGCCATGCTGAACCTGGTAGCAATGAAAGTCAATGTTGCCAGGCTGAACCTGGTAGCAATGAAAGTCAATGTTGCCAGGCTGAACCTGGTAGCAATGAAAGTCAATGTTGCCAGGCTGAACCTGGTAGCGATGAAAGTCAATGTTCCCAGGCTGAACCTGGTAGCAATGAAAGTCAATGTCCCCAGGCTGAACTTGGTAGCAATGAAAGTCAATGTTCCCAGGCTGGACCTGGTAGCAATGAAAGTCAATGTTCCCAAAATCCAGAATTTTTATTTGGTCTTGCCAGATATTTCATTTAAATTGGTAGATGAGTGACGCAAAAAGCGAAGGCACCAAAGAGACCATGCGGAAGTTCTCACCGCTAGGAGTGAGGGAATGAAATACTCAAACATCAACTACACATTGTGGTAGCCATGAGCAATGCTCTAACCATCTGCGCTACGGAACCAGGCCGAATATAAAAGGGGCTGAATGGTTTTTCACCCCAAAGGCAGCTCACAACACATGCCACATATACTACACAAACACACATACACACACGCACAATACAAGTTCTGGTGGCTGACCATGGTTGGTTCCCTGCAGGCTGGGCAGTGGGAAAGGGACCCAGTGCCATCAGAATTGTGGTGGTTTGAAGAATTACTTCAGTAACACTGTGATTTGTTTGCTTTTTGCCTCCTGTACATTCCTCACATCTGCATGAAGATTGGCCGAGATCAGCCATTTCGTGAAAAGATGTTCAACCAAGACAACTCACGACTGCCGAGATAAATTTATGTAGCCCATCAGTTTGGGTACTAGTACCTGCACTGTGGCTGCTTTCTGACTATCAGTGCCGAGGGCACAGCAATCAAAGACCAATACTGGAATCAGTAACGTTCCTCACTCCCAAACGGCGGCTATGAAAGCATAACTAGTATTAGGGGTCAGAGGGGTGTGGCAGGTACTCAGGTACCCACCCGTTAATCTCAGGTACCGTCAGTAAAAGGGTGCCCGTTTGGATTTTGATGATCCAGTCAGTACGGAACAACACTGCTGGGATCGCGCATTCCAGGCGGGAGTCAATTATTTACACCTCCACACTGGATGTCTGCATTGTTGTTGCATTTTCTCACCTAGTAGATCTACAAGTACTTCCGCAACTATCAGACACAAATAAATTCGCGAATCCCAATGTGATATCAAAATGCAACCGGCCCAAGAACAGATAAATTAAAAATCCTGACTCATGTGAAAATTAAACATGGCTGCTAAAAGGTACCCGTTAACCCGCCCGTTAAGAAAATCACCCATCCGTTAGTTAAAGGTACACCCGTTTGACCTCTAACTACAGTGCTGGCAAATGAAATCCGATCCCCTGAGCGCTGCGCTCACATCGCAAAGACCCAACACGAAATGGTAGAACTACGAAACAGAGACCGCTAGAATGTGAACCCGCTGCTCAGGGGGGCGGATTTCAGTTGCCAGGACTGTCGTATACCCACTTTTATCAACACGGAATATATTGATCTTCGGAAAGGACCCCTATTTACCCACTCCAATTTTACAAGGAATGATGCAAACACCCTGCCGGCTTTGCAACTACAGAAGATGATGGCTGGACAATAGAGGTCCAATGTCATAGACAGACGGCTATTAACGTTAGCAGACACAGGCGGTATCACTCAAGCTGCTCAAGAACAGCAGCCCCCCCCCCCCCCATTGTAAAGAAGATGATGGCTGGACAATTGAGTTCCAATGTCACAGACAGACGGCTATTAACGGTAGCAGCCAGGCTGTATCACTCACGCTGCTCAAGAACAGCAGGCCAGCCGGAGCCAGTCCGGTTCATCAGGTCATTACCTGACCAACCTGTTGGCAAGTAAGTACTAACGGTTTCCTGGTGAAGTGGTCACTGGTTATATATAACCACAACGATCATGCACAACGTATGAAAGGTTATCAGGGTTCTAGCCAGGTCAACTTGAAATAGTAGAGGAGGGGGGGGGGGGCATTGGAAACATTTGCCCCGTATCCCATTTTTCCACTTTCCAATATGGTCTTGCCACGCTAAATGCAATGTATGGGGCGAATATCCGACTTCGTCCCAGACAAATGTGCCTTTGTGAACAATCTAATAGTGACTTTCGACTGCATTTTCGTTGAATTGCATGAAAAACACGAAACCGGAAAATGAGTAGGGGGCGGCACTTTTCACCGGGGGCACAAAGAGAGTAGGGGGCGCCCCCCCCCCCCCCCCTTACACCTTTGCCTAGAACCCTGGATATGGTATAGCATGTGTGATAACTCGCTCGGACAGCGTTCCGGTTAGTCTCGCCCATGGCTGTGTCGTCTCTAACCCTCGGAACGTTTTGTGACAAGTATAGTCACGGCTGGCATAACGCAACTTCACCCAGTCCTAACCCAACACACACATAACCAACTGATCTCGTCAGAGCAGAGAATATGTTCACTGTTTGGAAGAAGAGCACCGAAAGAACCTCTCGCTAAAAGCAACAGCATGCTATGATATAACACATTGTAGAAAACAGCAAGCAGGGGCAGTAGCGATAGTACTTGCTAAACATGCAGCTAAACTGCTACTTTGTCCTCTGCGCGGAACGGCGATCGGACACGCACACGCATACACATACACGCACAGGTCTGCGTGATCTAGAAGCGGCGGTCATCATGATAACATAAATATGCAAAGTGTGAAAGAGTATTAGAAAGGGGCGAGACTAGACCCGGCGTCTGGACTGCAATAACCTGATTAAAAGCATTGCCAACCAAGTGGTCAAGTAGGTGCACTCACACTCATCCACACCTCGCGTACTACTACTATATTGCGAATTCATAATTACATTGTATTGCACTTTCTACCGCAAGTGCACAGTCGTGCGCTTCATCTATTGAAAGCAGCCAAACCTATCATCAAGAGTACATAACTGTTCCAACTACGGAAGACATAGTGTGTCCACGTTCTACGCACAGTAGCTACCAGAAGTAAGTTACAAGTTACAAGCCCTCACTCCCGGGCTATGACATCTCCCCGCGCCTTCGAAAAGACTGCCACGTCCTCGTGGCGACAACATTCGGCTTACCGTCGTCTTCTCAACTGGGTTTGCATCCCATAGTACTGCGGTGGCCGGACGGTCCTCCCAGCTCGAGTCTGAACCGCAATCTGGGCTGGTTGTGGCGGTGGCTGGTTGACTGGTAGCGGGATCTGCACAACTGGTTGGCCGCCAACACCATCCACGCCGCCATACGTCTCATGCTGGGCATCCTCATCAGAATCCCAATACAACAAGTCTGTAGGGTCCGGCACATACACCTCAGCCGCGGGCGTTTCGACAGACTCAGCATCTCCAGGTTCCTCCACCTCACTCACAGCGTGAAGATGGTTAGGCCTTACTCTGCATCGTTTTAGCCTGTTCACGTGCACAATCTGCACCTTGACACTGGCCGCTCGTGTATCTCTCACCCGATACACCACGTCTGACAACTTCGTTACTATTTCAAACGGCCCTTGCCAGAGCTTGGAGAACTTCGGAGTAGTCCCCATCGGAACTGCTGGTACCAACAACCATACCAGATCTCTTTCTGCGAATGAAACGGGTACTGCTCCCGAATCATGCAAGTGAGCTTGATGCTTGTGCACGGTTTCCAACTTCTTCCGCACAACTCCATGCACATGCGCTAGCCTTTGTCTCAAATCTCTGACGTAGCTAGGCTCGCATAAGCTGACCATCTCATCAGGTGGTAAGCCATAAGCGACATCCTGTGGCAGACACATCTGTCTACCGAACAGTAGATACGCAGGCGTGTAACCCGTACTCGCCTGAGGCGTGGCTCTGTAAGCCATCAAAACCGCCGGCAAATGCACATCCCAATCTCGCTGATGCACATCGACATAGTGAGAAATCATCTTCTCCAATGTCTGATTAAAACGCTCTACCAACCCATTTCCAGCAGGGTGATAAGCCGTCATCCTGGTCTTCTTAATACCAAGCATTGAACAGACATCTCAGAAACAATCTGGAGTCAAAGTTTTTGCCCTGGTCAGTGTGCACACTCTCCGGTGCTCCAAACCTTGCAACAAACTCACCCACAAACTTTGAAGCTATCGTGGATGCATCCATCCTCTTTAGCGGATACGCTTCAACCCATTTGGTAAAATAGTCAACAATTACCAAAATGTGCTTGTTGCCAGCATCTGTCTCTGGCAATCCGGGAATTAAATCCATTCCAACTCTCTCGAACGGATAACCCGACCAGGTGACCTCTAGTGGTGCGCCACTGCCACGTCCCACAGGTCTCGATCGTCGACTGCACGACGCACAACTACCAATCCAGTCTTCCACATCTCTCTTCATGCCATACCAGAACAGCTTGGACTGAATCTGGTGATACGTTCTAGTCACCCCTAAGTGACCTAGATGATCATGGTACTCACTCAGCACCTGACCGCGCAACGCAACTGGCACCAAAATTTGAAACTTTGTGCCCTCTCCTGCGTTCTCAC